GAGTATCCAATGGGGATACGACTTTCCCATTAAAGAGTTTGTCGTTCCTCGCCTTCCAGATGTACCAACAGATCCATGGGAAGGTGTCGAATTGTGGTCTCCGAGGAGCCACCTCTTTTCTCTTCCAAAAAAGGAAGTCTATGTTTTGATATATAGATGTACTCGGGAAGACACCCGGAATGGACGGATAGTCCGATAAGGCCCAAACCTGCAGGGCAGGGGGGCATTCAAAGATAAGATGGTTAATTGACTCCACTGGGCCACCACATCTAGGACAACTCCTATCGGTGCCCAGGTGTCTGTAGGTGAGTCTCTCTGCTGTCGCCACACAACCTGAGATAGCTTGCCACAAGAAGTGCTTCATCTTGCTTGGAGCCTCTATCCTCCACACATGGCTCTGGAGGCCTGTGATGCTCGGTTGGAGAACCAATCCTTGTGTAGGCCTTGTTTTGTTCGATTGGAGTAGGTCATAACCGGTTTTAACTGAGTATACTCCTGTCTTTGTGTGATCCCAAACATATCCATCTGGAGCGGACGAGTATGAGGGTTTTAGCCCAAGTATCAGAGGTATGTCGTCTGGCTGGAAATATTCTCTCAAACGTTGTATATCCCACTCCTTGGTATCATTCCTAATAAGGGCTTGAACCGGGAGGCTGGGGAGTCTGTAGACAATGTGATCGGCAGGCCTAGGTGGTCGGGCCACTGAGTCGGGGATCCAGTGCTCACTCCATACCCTCGTATCTCGACCTGAACCAATCCTCTTACGTAGTCCCGAAAGAAGTAAGGGTTTTGCTGCCATAATACTACGCCAACCATATGAAGGTGAGTACGTACGTCGGTCTTCTAAAGGAGAGGTATTGTAATAGTACCTCCCTTTTAGGACACGTGCCAATAATGAGTTTGGGTAGTGTATCAATCGCCATAGTTGTTTCGCAAGAAGTGCTATGTTGAAATCATGGAGATCACGAAATCCTAGTCCCCCTAAATCTTTAGGGATACATATTTCGTCCCATGATATCCAATGCAAACCTCTGCTGTTCTGTTTTAAACTCCACCAAAAGTTTGAATTCGTGCTTCGTAGTTTATCAATGATGCCTTGGGGAATCAAATAACATGACATTGGATATGTTGGAATTGTTTGGGACACCGCTTTTATCTGAACCTCTTTTCCCCCTTTGGACAGTAATCTCGAAGACCAATTATTCACGCGTCCATTCAGCCAGTCTTGTACGTAGGAAAAGACTTTGGTTTTCGAACCACAAATCTGTTCAGGTAGTCCAACGTACATACCCATGCCTCCTTCAGCCGAGAATCCCAGGACCTCTTTTATCTCTTGTTTCCGAAGGTAGTCTACACGGTTTCCAAAGAACATTGATGATTTTGCCGCATTTAATCTTTGTCCTGATGCTTTCCCATAGACGTCTATGATATCTATGATCTCCTTGCATTGGCTAGCTTCTGCCTTACAGAAGAAAAGACTATCATCCGCAAATAGTAGATGTGAGGTCCTTGGGCTCGCCTGTGCCACCCGAAGACCTACAATCTTCCTTTCCGCTTCCGCTCCATTCAACAGCGAGACCAAAGCTTCTGTACATAGGATAAACAAGAAGGGGGACAGGGGGTCTCCTTGTCTCAGNTCCGCTTCCGCTCCATTCAACAGCGAGACCAAAGCTTCTGTACATAGGATAAACAAGAAGGGGGACAGGGGGTCTCCTTGTCTCAGGCCCCTCCTTGGTAAGATCCGGCCTCGCGGTTGTCCATTGACTAGAACTTGATATGAAACCGACGTGACACAACACATAATGAGGTCAACCAGTCTTTCATCAAATCCCATCTTTAACATCAGGGTAGCCAGAAAACTCCACTCCACTTTATCGTAAGCTTTACTCATATCGGTCTTAATGGCCATAAAGTCTTCCCTACATCTTTGGTTCGTCCTTAGGGCTTGAAAGTTCTCTTGTGCTGTCAGGATGTTGTCAGTGATCAAACGTTTAGCCACAAATGCTGATTGTGTCTCCGAAATCAGTCTCGGAATTAGCCTCTTAAGTCTCTTGCATAGTAGCTTAGATATAATCTTATAGCTAACATTGCAGAGACTAATAGGTCTAAATTCTGACATCTCCCAGGGTTTCTTCTTCTTCGGGATAAGACATATATTCGTCTGGTTCAAAAGTGGGTCAAAGCTGCCCGTCTCAAAAAAATCGTGTACCAGTTTAATAATATCTTTCCGCATCTCACTCCAAAATTTCTGAAAGAGCTTACTAGTCATGCCATCCGGTCCTGGTGCTTTATCCGGGTTAATATCAAAAATGGCTCTTCGAATCTCCTGTTCCGACGGTACCTCTAAGAGTAACCTATTGTCGGCCTGGGATATTTTTTCTGTAATAAACCGAAGGGAGGTATCAACCTCCGTCGGAGAGGAGGTAGAGAAGAGATCCCGAAAGTATTGAACAGCAACAGTCTCCACCTCGATTTCACTCTCTACCAACCTCCCGTGTTTGTCTTTAATACTTATGATTCGATTCACTGCTCTTCGTTGTTTTGTAGTGGCATAGTGAAATTTTGTGTTTCTATCTCCATATTTATGCCATTGATCTCTACTCTTTTGTTCCCAGAAAGTGTTTTCTTCCCTAAACGCCATTATCAACTGTCGCCTCAAATCTTCTAGTTCCTCGGTCGTGGAATTTTCGTCATCTTGAGCCAAATCAATCATGTTTTTTAGATTTTCAATCAGGATAGCTGAGTTTGTCGGATTATTTTTTTTCCAAGTACTGATCTTGTTCCGACATGAGGTAACTTTTTGATGAAAATTCTGGACTGGAATGTCATCAAAATGTCCCCATCCGGAAGTCACTGCTTCCTTAAACCCGGGTTTTCCTATCCACCTCTTGTCAAATCGAAAGTTCTTCTTCTTGGTACATCGGGATGATGACTGAATCCTTGTAAGAACTGGTCTATGGTCCGACCCCCATAGCTGTAAATATTCCACAATACTATGGTTAAACAGGTCGTGTCATTCCTCATTTGCCACTGCTCTATCAAGTTTGCATTTAACTTTTCCATTTTTTCTTTTTCCCACCCATGAAAACGAATTTCCTTTATATGGAAAGTCAAGCATTCCACAATTTTCTAACATGATTCGGAAAGGGAGGAAAGAACTCTCTGAGAGACGTCTTCCTCCCCTCTTCTCATGATTGCCTGTGAGCTCATTAAAATCTCCAATCATAAACCACGCGCCAGTACGAGTTGTACTCATACGTGACAGTCGTTCCCAAACCAAATCTCGATATCTGAAATCAGGTTCTCCATACACAAAAGTCATAAAAATTGCATGTCCTTCAAGTCTAGTTTCAATGTCGATCATATGCTTGTCCGCATATAAAATACGAACCGAGGGATCATCCATATAAAAAAGTGCTAGACCTCCGCTTCGATCCACCGGGTCCACGGTACAAACATGATCATATCCAAAAGAAACTTGTACATCTTGCATAAAATTCCAATTGTTCTTAGTTTCCGACAGAAATAAGAATTTAGGCAAGAAACAGTGAAACAACTCATGTAGATACTCCTTGGTCAAGGACGCTCTCGCCCCTTGACAATTCCATGCAATTGTATTCATTTAAAAAATATATAGTTATACTGGACACATCAACATTAGTTAAAAAAAACTAATGTAATGACCCAGGAACCAACTTCTCTGCAGGATGAGATTCTTTGTTAATTCCTTGTAGAATCTTAGCACCAATGGGTGGTCTTCACTAACACTTCGCTTACTCCAAATATAAATATTCTCGAGTTATTCCAATTATTTAGTTCTCGTACCCAAAACAAAAAGCTTGACTTGAAAATTTCTCCAGTATGAAGTCAGATTTTTGTTTCTTCGTGGATTCTCCTAGAATCAGTTGAAAAGAAAATGACAGAGTTGAGCACACACGTCACAAACTCCACAACAATATAACTTTATAGTTCCTTTGATTATATTTGACCAAACTCTTCAAACCACGTCACACAACAGATTGGGCAGCTTGGTAATAGTAAACTGGCCAGAGTTTATCTTCACCAGTAAAGCGTTCATTACACTTGCACCATTGTCAAAACACCCTATACGAGGGGTAGACGATGCAAGGCCGGAGGTTCTGATGGGCTAGATTTGTCTTTGGGGTTTAAGCGAGGGGAGCTGGAGCAATGAATACACAACTTGAAACGACTCTCTTCAGATCAAGATTGAGTTGGTGGAGAGGAAGCAGAAGCAGCTCAAATTCTGTTTGAAAAGAATCACTTCAGGTTTCAGACTTCGGAGCTGAGAAGAATGATGATTTAGAGGTGAGCACCCACGCTCAAACTCTAAAACAGAGAGGCTCCAAATAAACAATAAGATAGTCTTAGCAGTTGGTTAGAAACGCTTGAGATTGGCCGAGAACTTCAGATAATAGAGACAAATTGGAGCCACTAGGCAGAGAGGAAAACTCGCTGGTAACAGAGGAACAAACCCCAGCTGATATTTTCCAGAAAGAGAAGGTCCGTGAGCTGAGGATATAATGGAGGGGAAACTCGGAGAACCGTCGGCGGAGGGGGCATCATCGGAGAAACAAATGGGATAGAGATTATGGAGTAGATAGGTCACGAACAAGATGAAAGGGGGTGACGGGAGAAAAATGCGGTGGAGTTGATGGACGTACGGTGGAGAGATTCAAATTTCACGGAGGTTGAACAGATCTCCAGAATTTTGAAAAAACCTCGGGAACATCACCTGAAAGCGTTTCTCTCTCCATCGGTATCTTTTTGAGGGAGTAATGTTTATACTATAGAAACATTGATTTAAATTTTCATCATAAGAGGACAATACTTGAATTTTTGTTTACCTTATTGGGTAAATTTTCCTAAATTTCGATAAAATAAGTTTTATAAGTTTTAACCCTAATGCTTAGCTACTTATTTGATTCAGTTTTTGCGTCACAGACATACTATCAATTGTCTTCAAAAACAAACAAGTCATACATAACCGACCAATCTTGTCTTCAAAAACAAACAAGTCATACATAACCGACATAGTTCATCAAACATTCAGACACAAAAGATTTAACAACAAACACAAATCAAAGTTCCATCCGACAAACACAATACTAGGACTCTCATCACCCAAGTTGGACAAGCTGTGCGAGCAAATCCTCGTCACCTGAAAAGCTAAGAACGCAGCCAGAGGCGGACGGGTAACCGACAACGTTACCAACTTCCGATCTCGTTGCCAGCTTGAGAATCGGAAGCTGGTGCTCCGCCGCCTTAGCTAAATGGTCGGCACATCCACCTATAAACAACAACAAAAAATCAGTTAAAAGAAAAGAAACAGAGAAAAAGAAAAGAAACAAAGAGCTAGTTAAAAGAATTTACAGTCAGCAGCTACAATGAACACAGTTACGGGAGGATCCATCTTGTAGTAGCTTGCGTGACGAGCTTGTCACCGATGATGAGACTATCCACTCCTTTAGCTACACGGCATAACTCATTAGCCTTGGACAAACCAGCTCCAGATGTGATGAAAGACATAATAACTGCCAAATTAAGAATAAAACTGAGACAATATCCAAGAAACAACATAGCATAAAAGGGACAGGACAGCCAGGATTAAGTTTCATACATTCCTCAACTGATTTTTCAAAAGACAATCTGCAACCTCAAAAGTTGGAATCTTTTCATCAAGGAATTTTAAGAAAATAGTGAGACAAAGGGGCGCTAGTTACATGATTCATCGAGTAGTATTTTATACTGTTCCAGCGACATTTTGTGATGTGCAATGCTGAATCAAAGATTAACGCTGAACTAGGGAAGTTACTACATTTGTCAAACTCAAATCAAAGACTTTGCAACTGGGTGCCAAGTCTCAGTGCAAGTGCAAAAACGCTTGAACCAGGATACAATATTTAAACCAAGTTGTCTAGCATTTTCAGAGTACTCAACTATAGAAACTATCCTCAATTGTTCACAAAGACTATTACAGTAGGGAGTATCTGAAAATAGGGAGACAAGTCGCTATTTACATGGTCCATAGATTAGTATTTTGACCTGCTAACATTGTGATGTACACATGCCGAATCAAACTCAAAATCAAAAACGCTTGAACCACACAACATATAAGCGCAGGAAAACAATAACAAAAACTACAGCTTTTAAACCATGTTGTCTAGCATTTTCAGAGTACTCAGTTATAGAAACTATCCTCCTTTGTTCCTACAGATCTGACACTAAAAGATGACGGATTCACTTCAACAAATACAGCAAAAGGGAATAAGTAAATAAATCTAAAAATCAATTAGTAAATCGGAACTGGATCTGAAGACTAAACGACAAAAAAAATTTGATCAATCAGTAAATCGGAATCAATCAGTAAAGGTCACAGATTCAGGCTTTCACTTCAAAAGGGATTCAAGTATAAACTGATAAAGAGAGATCTGACCTAGGGGTTGTGAAAGCTTGGCCGAAATTTGGGGAAAAGTAGCGTGTCTTTGTTTTTTACTCTGTTCCTATTATTTATCTTAAGACTGAACTTGTTTTCGTTTTCTTTTTTTTTTAACTTGTTTTTATTGTATATAGATGAAAACTAGTTTTAAGCTTATAATGTCAAATTTTTATTTTGTAAAAGAGGAGAATTAGCTCTAAGCTTATAATGTCAAATCTGGTACTAATAAATAATTGCTTTTAAAAATTAACTCTGAATAGTGTTACTGTTTTAAGACTATTCAGAATTAATTTCTAAAAGCAAATTTTAATTTTGTACAAAAGGAAACCTAGGGAACTACAGGATTAAAAAGACTAGTCCAGTAAGGTACTAACATGTGATGGTGAGGTGGTAAGGAAGAGGAGAGTGCAAAGTGATGCCTGAAATGGAGCCGCCTTAGTGGATGATGTGCAAAGTGTGCCTGAAATCAAAAGACAAACAATCAGAAACTCAATGCGGCAACAGAATGTTTTAGATGATAACACTCGCCAAGTCTATCTATATTCTAAATTGTCTATACCACTTTTTAGAGTTTGTAAAGCTAATTCATGTTACAAAGTTCCATGTTTTTGGTGCATACCTAACCGAGCACTCCACTCCATTCACACAACCTATTTCCCCAGTTCTGCAGCCCACGCCCACAACAGACAACAATACATCTCTCGGGACAACACCACACTACAGCTTCCACATTCTGATAAGAACCAACGTATGTATTATTGATCTTATCGAGTCCGTTACAATCTCTAACCGCAATATCGGTATAGAGCCAATCTCCTGTAGATAACTCTACCAGGAAACAGATACAACTTTACACAAATTGCCTAACGAACTTCTACACATACAGACTCTTTATATACTGCTATAGTTCAATACTCGACTCTAACAACTTCTNCCAGGAAACAGATACAACTTTACACAAATTGCCTAACGAACTTCTACACATACAGACTCTTTATATACTGCTATAGTTCAATACTCGACTCTAACAACTTCTTCCACCGTCTTTCTTCTTGTTCTCCACGTCATCATTATTTAGCTCTCCTCTTTTCTCAGTCTTCTTTCTCCTCACATAGCAACGACGGGGCCTATCAATACCCCCCTCCCCGAAATTGAGCTTGCCCTCAAGCTCAAAGCTTGGAAAACTCTGCTCAAACTCATTAATCTTCATCCATGTATGCTCATAATGAGGCAATCCCTTCCAACGAACTAAAACTTCCAGCCATCCATTCTCATCATAACGGTAATCCATCAACTCCTCAGGAAACAATACCAACTCATCCATTTCCGATAAAGACTCAGGTAAGGGAACCACTGAATGACCCGTACCAAACACCGGTTTGAGCTGAGATACGTGAAAGACCGGATGTAACTTGCACGAAGCAGGCAACTCCAACCTATAAGCAACCTTCCCCACTCTCTCCAACACCTTGAAAGGGCCGTAGTACTTCGCAGCAAGCTTTTGACAGAATCTCCTAGTCAAGCTTGTTTGTCGGTACGGACGGAGCTTAAGAAACACCAAGGTCCCTTCCTCAAAATTCAAATCACGCCTATGTTTGTCAGCGTTGTTCTTCATTAAGTCCTGAGCGCGGAGTAAATGCATTTTAATATCATGTAACATTGCATCTCTCTCACGAAGCATGCTCTCTAGCTCAAAATTCAGGGTTGATCCATCCTCAAAACGAAGCAACGATGGAGGTTTCCTGCCATATACCAACTCAAATGGCGTGGCCTTCAAGGATGTATGATACGAAGAATTGTACCAAAACTCAGCCCATGACAGATACTGATGCCACTTCTTAGGATGAGACGAAGTAAAAAACATCGTAGATACGACTCCAAACAACGGTTTATCACCTCGGTTTGACCATCGGTTTGAGGGTGATAAGCCGTTGAAAATTTCAACTTTGTACCAGCCAAGCGAAAACATTCTTTCCAGAAACACTCTGTCTCTGTCAGATATTATCGAAATAGGGAACCCATGTAAACGTACGATCTCTGACACGAATTTCTCTGCCACAGACACAGCCGTGTATGGGTGTTTCAGGCTGAAGAAATGAGCATACTTTGACAATCTGTCCACTACAACGCAAATCACATCCACTCCTTGAGACTTTGGTAAACCACCAATAAAGTCCATAGATAGCTCCTCCCATATCTGATTAGGAATAGTGATAGGTTGAAGAAGACCAGCAGGTTTCAGCGTAGAAGTTTTGTGTGTTTGGCATACGCGACACTCTGCCACAAACCTCTGCACATCTTTCTTCAGATTTACCCAATGAAATAATCTTTGAATGCGTTTAACGGTTTTCAAAACGCCAGAATGCCCTCCTGCCATGCCACTGTGATATTCCTCCAATATAACAGAGATGTACTTTGAAGTTTTTGGTAACACGAGTCTGTCTTTATAAAACAAACGTCCTCCTTTAATATGAAACCCCGGTTTCTCACACTCGCCAGCAAGTAAACCTTTCAACATCTTTTGTATTGTCTCGTCCGCATCAACCTCTTCTAAAATGTTTTGAATCTCCAAATTCGACGTCTGAGTCATAGCTACCAACAACTCCATTGTAGATAATGACGAGTCCGACATTACACGAGATAATCCATCTGCCACTTGATTATCAACTCCTGCTTTGTATATGATCTCAAAATCATAGCCCAAAAGTTTGGTCAACCAGCGTTGATAGTCCATGGAGACATCACGTTGATCAAGTAAGAATTTTAGACTCTTTTGGTCTGTGAAAATGGTAAATCTTCTTCCCATTAAGTAGTGTTTCCATTTTTGCACAGCCATCACTATTGCCATGAGCTCTCTCTCATACACTGGCTTCAATTGCTCCCTGTCACTTAAACCCTTACTGAAAAAGGCAATAGGTCTCTTGTTCTGCATAAGAACTGCCCCCAGTCCATACCCTGAGGCGTCTGATTCAACAACAAACGGTTCTTGAAAATTTGGCAATGCTAAGACCGGTGAACTTATCATCTTGAGTTTAAGCAAGTCAAATGCCTTCTGTTCCTTCTCACTCCACACGAAACCTTCACGTTTTAAGAGGTCAGATAATGGTCTTGCAATGACACCATAAGCCTTTACAAAGCGCCTATAATATCCTGTAAGCCCAAGAAAACTTCGTAGCTCTTTCACTGATTTAGGAGCAGGCCATTTAGTAATCGCTTCTGTCTTAGACGGATCCGTAGCCACTCCCTCAGCAGAGATAACATGACCCAGATATTCAACACTACCCTGGCCAAATGAGCACTTTTTCTTATTTGCAAATAGTTGGTGTTTGACCAGTAGTTCCAACACTTCACGCAAATGACCGATATGATCCTCAACACTTCGACTATAGATCAAAATATCATCAAAAAATACCAACACAAATCTCCTCAACAATGGTCTGAACACCTCGTTCATCAAAGCTTGGAACGTCGCAGGTGCATTCGATAAGCCAAATGGCATAACAACAAATTCATAATGCCCTGCGTGTGTTCTGAAGGCAGTCTTCTCAATATCCCTCTCTTCCATCCGAATTTGATGATATCCAGAACGTAGATCCAGCTTGGAAAAGACGTGAGCACCTTCTAATTCATCTAACAACTGATCTATTACCGGAATAGGAAACTTATCCGGAATAGTAGCTTTGTTGACACCACGGTAATCAACACAAAACCTCCAGGACTTGTCTTTCTTTTTAACTAGGAGCACCGGACTAGCATATGGACTTCGACTCTGCCTGATGACACCCGTTTGAAGCATTTCAGCTACTAATTTCTCCATTGCTTCCATATGAGAGTGAGGGTATCGATATGGCCTCATACAAATAGGCTTTGTTCCGGGAAGAAGTCGAATAGAGTGTTCATATCCTCTTTTTGGCGGTAACTGTTTAGGTTCATCAAACACTCCTGGAAACTCTGTCAACACCATGGAGACTGCTTCTGGAACTCGAACTTCTTTCTTTTGCACACTCTCCACAGTCTGTAACTCCAATACCACTGATAAAGTGTCTATGGCAGTGTCTTTTCCAATAATAGTTGGATCCCCTTGCAATGTACAATGCTTGTTGTTGAGCCAGTAAGAAAGCACCTGATTCTCCCAGTCAACTTCGCATTTTCCTAAAGTTCTTAGCCATTGTACTCCAAGTATTACATCAACACTTCCTGGCTCCAGAACGATGAAATCGTTTGTTAAGTCCACTGATTGTGCCATCAAGGGAACCTGACTGCAAATACCAGTACCTGAAACCACAATTCCTGTACCTACTTTGACTTGTATCTCCCCCTTGCGTTCTATCGGTAACTGAGCTCTAGTCACAATAGAAGGTGATAGGAAATTATGTGTTGCACCACTGTCAATCATTATTAACACTTTCGTCTTTCCAATATAGCCCCACAATTTTGTTGTCTTTGGTGATGACTGTCCCAAGAAAGAGAAAAGAGATAACTCCATAACCTCAGTCACTACTTCATTCACATTCTCAACAGAATCATGAAACACTTCCTCCACCATATCACATTCTTCAACATTCAATACTACCATGACATAGAGTTCTCTGTTGCGGCAATTGTGTGTTTTGGACCACTTCTCGTCACAAGTAAAACAAAGACCATCCTTCTTTTTCTTTGCATACTCCGCTTCAGAAAGTTTATATGGTATCGTGTGTGGAGGTCGAGAACCTGAGTGTCTTTCTGTTGTTTTACCACTCGTCTGGCCTGTATCATTGACCTGACCCTTATTCTTCCAGCCACTCGGATTCACTGGAGCATTTCGAAAAGAAACACCCTGTCCTTGCCTGACCACCCTGTTCTCAGAAGGCTTCCCCGTAAACAACTTGCAGAAATCACTGTTCTCCATCAGAATGACTGCGGCAATAAAATTAGGAAGACCGACTGGCTCCTTCATCTTAATAACCTCTTGGAACTCTCTCTTAAGTCCATTGAAGAAAATATCCTCCAAATTTCCTTCTTCCAGCTTCACCTGAGTAGCCAACTCCTGAAATTCTCGAACATACTCAGCAATAGTTCCCGTCTGACGAATGCCAAATAGCCTCTTTCCCGGAGTTTTCTCATACGAATCAGCAAACCTTGCTAACATCCTCTTCTTGAAGTCAAACCAATCCAGGAATGGACGGTATTCCACTTCGTAATTGTACCAACTCAGAGCATCATCTTCCAAACTCAAGGAAACGATATCCATTCTTGCTTGCATATTATGTTGACCGATTCGAAAGAATCTTTCAGCTCGAGCAATCCAAGAATATGGATTCGGTCCACTCAATAACGGCATCTCCACTTTCCGTAACAGATTATCTCTATCGGCTAAAGCAGAACCAACAGATCGATAACCTAGTGAGTTTGCTTCCAGATTCGTTCCCAGATTCATCGGAAATACCTTATTAGCATCCTGTGATGAGCCAGGTTGAGTCGATTGAATCGGAGTCTTTCCGTGAAGCACCGTCGTCAATTTCTCCATCGATTTCGCCATGGACTGTAATGTCAATTCGATTGAGTTTAATCGAGAATCCACCGCCGTTAAACGCTTCTCCGCCGTCGTCGAAGCCTCCGAAAGGACCTTATAACCACCGTTTAAGTAGTTGAGCTGCTC